ATTTTGTTGATTTGATCTACTGATTTTCTGTTTTCATTTTACTCATTTCTGCTCTAATTTATATTATTTCTTTTCTTCTGCTTACTTTGGATTTAATTTGCTTTTAATCTAGTTTCCTGAGGTGGAATCACAGATTATTAAATTTATATCTTTCTTCTTTTCTAATATATGATATTAATGCTACAAATTTCCCTCTAAGCAATGTTTTCACTGTATCCCACAAATATTAAGTTGTGTTTTCATTTTCATTTAGTTCAAAATATTTTTTAATGTCTCTTGAGACTTTTTCCTTGGTTCATGTTTTATTTTGAAATAGGTTGTTTAATCTCCAAATAATGTGGATTTTCTAGCTAACTTTCTGTTACGATTTCTAGTTTAATTCCATATGGTCTAAGATCAAGTTTTATATGACTTCTATTTCTTTAAAATGTATTAAGGGGTGTTTAATTGTCCAGAACACGATATGTCTTCATGAATGTTATGTATGAGCTTGAGAAGAATGTGTACTCTACTGTTGTTGAATTAAACCTATAAATGTCAATAAGATCCAGTTGATTGATGATACCATTCAGTTCAACACTATCCATACTGATTTTCTTACTCCTGGATTTGTCACTTACTGCTAGAAGGGTTTTCTAAGAAATTTTAGCTGGATTAGATGTTAACATATAAAATAACTTTTTAGTATTTTTCAAAATACTCATAAATTTTTTCCTCCTTGGATCTTGTAAAACAGTGAATAATTTTAAATAATTTTCTAATACTAATCATCCTTGTATTCCTAACTTTATTTTAATCCCTCATTTTTTTGTATGTACTTCTAGATTTTGTTTATTTTTTGTGTATGATTTTTACATCAACATCTACTTTTAATTGTTCAGATAATTTCATGTGATTTCTCTGTATTTTGAATCATTTTATGCTGATTTTGAAAAAAATAATTGAGATACTTTACTTTTCTGTATAATCTGAAATAATTTAAGTTATACAACAATTATCTGTTTCTTAAAGGCTTAAATGAAATTGTCTGGACCTTGCCCTATTTTAAAGTCTTTGACAATGCTTTCATTTCTTTCATGGTTGTTAATCAATTTGGGTTTTACAACCTTTTTGAATCGCTTTTAGTAATATATTTCCCTAGAGATCCTCAAATGTATTAGCACAGAGTTACACAAAGTCTTCTAGGTATTTAACTTCTTCTCATTCTGAATTTTGAGTAATTGTGATTTATTCCTTCCTGTTTTCTTCTCCTTTCCTTCCTTCTTTTCATTCTTCCTTCTTTCAGTTCTTCCTTCCTTTCCTTCTTATTTCCTTCCTTTCCTTCTTATTTCCTTCCTTTCATTCCTTCCTTCCTTTTAATTAGGCAAAGCAGAATGTTTCTTCTTTAAAATGCAATATCCCTTGCTTGAAGTCTTTCAAAGACTTTAGAATAAAATCCAAATTGTCTATCAATACAAAACAAAGTGCTTCACAGGCTGGCATTTACCTACTTCTATATCTCACTGCCATCCATACTCTATCCTGAACATGTCTGGCTTTCTTTTATCATTTCATCTTTGTATATGCAATTAAAATGTCCCTCACTCCCTCCCCATCCTTTCTCTGCCTGGAAACCTCTGCTAGTCCCAAGACCCATTCCAACTTATCCCTTATTTGGGAAGTCTTCCTTGGAGGTACCAAAGCTGGAACCTCATCCTCTATGGAATTTTCTCTTTTGACTCTGTCAAGGCTGAAGTCCCAGGAAGCTCTATCCTCACATCTTTTTTCTATTTATACTCAATTCCCAGAAGAAAGCAAGTCCTATGGCATTAAATACCATCTTTACACTGATGAATTCTAAATTTTTATTTCCTCCAATTTTGCCCTACCAACTTAGTATCTCTATGAAGATGATAACTAAATATCTCAAGCTCAGTATGTCAAAAATGGAAGTCTTGATTCTACTCCTGCTGCCCAAATGTATTATTCTCTCAGTGTTACCCATCTTAGTAAATAGTACCACATTCATCCAGTTTTCTCAGTTCAAAAGTCTTGAAATTACCCTTGACTCCTCTCTTTCTCACAAACCCCATACTCAATCCAGCAGTAACACCCGCCATCTTGACCTTCAAAAATATTTCTTACCACTCTGGTCCAAGTGACCATTAGCTCTGACCTGGACTACTATAATAGCCTCCCAATTGGACTCTTTCCTTATACTTTTACTGACTTACAGTGTATTTATTTTCCACATGACAACCACTATTACTCATTAAAGGATAAACCAGATTATGACCATGACCCTCAATCTTCCAATGACTTCACATCCCCTTTCAAAAAAATCTGAAGTATTTATTATGGTCTACAAGGCCAGAAATCATCTGACTCCTGACTAGCTCATCTCTTATCACCCCCACCATCAGTGACAGATACATCACTGCAAGACTGACCCCCATGCTATTCCTTGAACATACAAGTACCTACCACCGTACTGTTCCCTTTGATAGGAATGTGTATCTATCAGAAATCCAAATAACTCATATTCACATTTCATTTTGGTCATTTATTTTTTTCCTAGTTCTTACCATTACCTGACATTTATATTAGATTTTTTTTGTTTGTTTATCATCTATCAGTTCATTAGAATATAAGCTCAGTAAAGTCAGGAGACTCATTTATTTTTTTCAGGCCTATAGCATTGCCTAATATGCTTTATAAAAACTTGTTAAACAGTGAGGGACTGAATACATTTAATGTATTATTCTAGTACAGTGTCTGTTTTTCCTGCAGATCATAAACTCTAAGTCCAGGGACTAAGTACTTTTTCTCTCTCTGTCCCAGAGAATCTGCCAGAATCTTAGGTACGTCACATAGTAGATACGTAAGCAATATTTGTGATGGAGTAAATTAATAAACACCTTCATTCTCTTTTGTAAGAGAGTAAGGAAAATCTTATGAATAAGGAAATCTAAGAATGCCAGCTTGATTATGTCACATATGGCAGATACAAGAGGGAACTCTGCAAGAAAATACCTTGAGACCTTTTGATTTATTTTGCCCCTTTTCCAGCATAAAGGTTTCCATCTGCAAGGGAAAGTTTTCTGAAAACAGTAGCTTAGGAAAATATACAACATGTAGCTGTTATAATTGCCATGTTTATATTGAGTTCTAAGTTAGCTAGTCCGAAATAGTCCTGGTAAAAATAAACTTTCAATGTGTTTTAGGCAATCAGTGTTTCCAATAAGCACTGTCAACATGACCTTTAGTGGTCTCCAGAAATTCTCCTTTACTAAGTATTTAACTGGCTGTTCAACCCCTATGGCTTCCTGTCTGCCTTTAATTTTCCCTCAGCATTTTTCACACTGGAGCAACAACAAAATACACAAGCCATCCTTTGGGAAGATTTTGAACGTCAATTGAAAAGCCATTGTAATAAAAAAAATTGAGAAGGGTTCAGGGAAAGAATATCAGTAGATATGACATAGTTCCCATATGACAGAAAACAACAAATGAACCTCACATTCTAACTCCCTAACTCCCTATTATCTACTTAACACTGAAATATAGTCCCCTCCACATTTTCTTTTCTGGAGAAATTTTGCCTTTTATAGAAGAGCAATTAGAAAATTGGAAAAATTTTTGGTAAAGTTATTGTCCATGCTCCATAATAATTCTCGTATTTAAGAGTAATTATAATTCCTATTAAACTGCCTAGTTATTTCTTAAGCTCCTAAAGCTCTTGTTATGTTTTTGTACTCATTCTCAGTGCCTCTTTATTAAGTAATTCTTTTCCTCACTGAAAGAGCCTCGTTATTAATATAATTACACATTATTGAGAAATTTGGAAGTTATAAACATAACATGATCTATAATAAATTTTTTTAAGCAATTTTGTTGGTAATTTAAAACGAATAATCAATGGTCATTTAATAAATGTGTAACTCAGTCTAGCAGATGGCCTAATCACATAGGTACAAAAAAGAATATTTTGTGGTCCAACATTATATTTTTTTCTTACAACAGAAAAATAGTTAAGTCATACCAACAATTTTTACCTCTCAAATACAACAGCAGTATGAATCAAATTGGATTTCCTCTCTTATGCCTACTCTCAAAAGAAAGTACCAAAATATAGAGAAAGGGAACAAAATGATTGGGAAAAATAGACACTAGGGGACATAAATCATGGTTTCAACTCTCCAATTGTATATTTAATTAAAATCAACTTCCAGTTTTCAAAAGGGTGACACAGTATGTTTCAAAACTAAAACATTCAAAACAACAACATAAACAAAAAAAACAACATAAACATATAAGTTAGATCTATCTTTTTAATGTCTGAAATGTTGCCCTGTTGCTTTTTCTGCTTAATACCTATTTAAAGCTCACATGCCAATATAACGTTTAAGTTTATTAAGGCTCTTCTAAGTTAAGGCATTTACCCTCCAGAAACTCATCTACTATCTATCCTTTCACTCTACAAGAATGTCATTTTTCCCCATTTGATCCAATACTAGATCAAAACTAATGTTGCATCCTTGTGAGATTATCATAAAATTGCTAACTGTAATAGCAAGGGACAGAAAGTCCTCGCTAAAAATTAAGACTAAAAAAATTGGTCACAGGATACAGAGAGGAGGGGATAGCTAAGTAGGAAATTTTAACTAATATTGATGTCAGCTATAACCACAATTATCTAGATCATACTTAAGAACTCTTGACTGTGATGAGGGTCAACTTAGGAAATGGTGATTTTCATGTACAAAATATAGGGAACAGTTTAGAGGACACAGTTGTAGCGTATTTTTTGTTTGTTTGTTTTATTTTGTTTTTTAGTTTAAACACCCCAAAACTAGTACTTATTTTTTCTAAGAAAATAGAGAAAGGAAACAAAAACCATGGTAAGTACTTATTCTCAAGAGCATGTTATAAATCATCCTGCGGAAACAAAGTCATGTTCAGTAGAATGCCTTAGAGTGTGCACATCAGAAGCAGTTCCGCAGTACTCTAGGGGCTCTCACCTTAAAAGTTGTGGTTCCATAGAGCTTGGTAGTGTGAACTGTCTCTGGAAGCACATTAGTGATATTGGTGATGAATTCCTCCAAGTACTTACAGGATTTCTCCAAGTGTGTCGTATTGATAATAATCTGGACCAGCTGGAAATAACAAGCACATGTAAAAGTCATTTGACTATTCACCCCAGGATGAATGGCTCAATATGGATCTGGGGGTAAAAGGCAAACGAAAGGTATGACGGCAAAGGCCATCCATATTCTGCAATGGGTATGTTAAAGCATGGGCTTACCTGTTACTCCCTTACCTGACACTTTCCTGGCATCCCAAAACGTTTTGTATTTCCCCCTATTATGGGAACACTTGTCACTCTTTTTAAACATGTTTTCTTATATTTAAAAAGGACTAGACTAAGAACAAAAATTGCTAGTGTTCAGTATAGTGCTTGCCAATAAATAATTGCCAAATGAATTAAATAAATGAACTCGCACTAAAAGAAGAAGAATAACTTAAATGGCAACAAGAAGTTTCAAAATTAGGCATGATGAACAGAGAGATGTTGTTAATAGAACAGATTGCAGCTTATTAACAGACTACATTAGTTTATGGAAGAAAGAACATGGGTATGGAAGTCACAGAAACCAGGAACTTAACCACTTACAAATTACAGATCTTGGGAAAGTTTCTTAACTTTTCTAAGCCTGTTTCTTTATCTGTAAAATGTTAATAATAATTTCTAACCCACAGAGTTACTGGGAGAATTAAATATTTGTTGTTCTTGAGTGGAACTGGAGGCCATTATCCCAAGTGAAGTAACAGGAACAAAAAAACCAAACACTGCATATTCTCACTTATGAGTGGGAGCTAAGCAATGGATATTCATTCATACAGAGCAACATAATGAACAGTGGAGACTCAGAAGAGGAAGGATGGCGTGGGATGAAACATTACCTATTGGGTACAATGCACATTATTAGGGTGACAGGTAACCTAAAAGCCTAGACTTCTCCACTATACAATGTATCCATGGAACAAAAAACCATTCGTACCCCCTAAATATGCTTAAATAAATAAATATTCTGTTAACACTATTTCCCTTTTCTCATACAGAAGAGAGCCTTAAAAAATTATGTTACCGGTAAGATAAAAAGTTATCTTCTATAAATTAATTGAGGAGGAGGATAAGGAAGAGTAACTATTATTGTCTGTATAGAATAAACGTTTGTAAAGAACTTCACAATTCATTTTTTTACGCTGTCTTCCCATAAACCTGGAGAAGTAGTTAAATGGACACAATTATAACTTCCATTTTATCATAACAGAAATGAAAATGAAGTGATTTCTCTAGATCATATAACCTAAATGAAACTAATACTCAAATCGAAGTCAAATTATGGACTCATCTAAATGACTTCTTCCAGTGCTTTTTAGCATGAGCGTAAGATGGCAGCCCTGGAGTGCTGCAAGTTTGTGTACATTAGGCTGAAATACCAGATTCTGGCTCTGCCATCATCTAGACCTTTCCATATTTGATTCTACTCACTGTAGACAAGGAAAAGAGAAAGCAAAATGGTACCTATTATTTATTTCTTAACTATGAAACTACTCATATTCCCCAGAGTATAAAAGAAATATATAAAGGAAATAGAAAGGAATCTTTTTTTGTCTCTCTTTTCTACATCTTTAACTTTTCATTTTCACAAGAATGGTGGCAGGGTTGTGGCAGGTGGGCAGAATTATGGTGTATAAGCTTATGGACGAATTTAGGTCTTCTTTTAGTCTAGTGAGATAGTCAGGTGGGGGTGGGTGTGTAGTTGACACAAAGGAGAAATTGGAACTAAAGATGAAGGGAGGTACTACATGTGTTTACAAACAATGATATTTAAAAACAAGTTTAAAGGTTGGGATTATACTTAAGAAGAATCATTGTATCATATTGTGGAATATTAATAAAAAATACGAATAAGACTATAATCAGAAAGTATGTTCTTAACCACCTCCACAACACCCAACACAGGGTTAAAGCACACAGTTCATTCTCAAACAATATATGTCAACTCATAATGATAATGCTTTAGTAACCATTTGAATTTGGAGACTTTGAGTTTTGGACACAAGATTACTGTCTCCTATAAAATTATTCAAAACATCAACATTTTAACTTTAGAGTGCTCTAGGGAAAAATATTCAACAAAATAAGCAATTCATCAGCCTCTTCCTTTCATCATTTTCTCCTTCAGATGAGAACTAAAATCATTTAAATTTTCTAAATTAAATCATTCTTCTTCATGAGTGGGAATGTGGCTACTGGCAAGGTTGTCTTGATGTGGAAGTTAGAAAATGAAGAGGGTTAATTTGGAGAACTGAAAAATTTCTATTTTAAAATTAACATTACCTATAGGGAACACATTCTGTCTATCAAAAGAAATCCTAATAATAAGGAGGAATCGTGTCATGTTATTGAAATAAAAAACAGTGGCAGTCAAAGAGAAAATTGTCCTGTTTTGCAGGATATTGGCAGTTAAAAGAAAAAAAAGGAGGCGGCTTCACTGGGTACAGTAGTAATTTCCCATGACTTTTTAGAGATCTGTCAACACAAAAGATCAACATGAATTACATCAATTGGCTGTCAGTCACTTTTGAAATGTTTCATTGCTGAGCATAGAATAGACTATTAAAATCCTCTAGGATTACAGTAGATACCATGTCATTTTCAGAGGGAATATTGTCTGTTAATGAGGTCTAAGTGATCTCTACTCTTGAATGACAGCTACCAAGATCCTTACAAGGGCATTTACAAATGTAAAGCCAGAATTTGGGGGGTAATTTTGAACTTAAGGATTAAATAAAGCAATTTCAGATATCAACTTCCATCTGAGTTTGAGCTCCTTCGATGATATTTTTAACCCTTACTTCCCAATCTTCTTATAAATTATACCACTGCAGCAATCCAAACTATCTTGAACACAGTTTCAAGGACATGAAATTAACAACAGATCAGATATTTGTTATCTCTTATACAAAGTTCTATGAGAATCGTCCAAAAAAAGAATACTATAAAGCAAACAACCACCTCTCACAACTAAATGACAGAAGTTACTTAAGTTAAAAACCATTAAGAATTAGAAAATTTTTCTGTCTCTCCTTTCCCACATCAGACAGAATCTATTGAGAAAGACACAGAGTACATTGTGGAGGTCATTTGTGCTCCAAACTTGCTCCCAACACCACTGTGGAACCTGAACCATGATGACAGATGTTCTATTCTTGACAAACTCCAGAAAAGAAAATGTCGTCATCTTCCAAAGGTCAAAACTAAGACCTAAATTCCAAGAAAAGATTTCCACTCTCAACTATAAATTACTTTTGAAGTATACACATCTCCTTATATTATTAACAGAACTGCTATTAGTATGTTTCCAAAAGAAGAAAATTCAATACAAGTAAGCTTCAAAAGGACTAATCCAAAGCAAGAAAATGAGAAGTCACACTCCTCTCCACACCATCAATGCCTCTCAACTGTTAAATTTGCAAGATGACAAAGAACTAAATAGCAGCATTGGTTCTCATTCACAAAAATGAGCTATCCCCAAGACATCAAGGGATTTGATCTCCATTTCGTCGGGGTACAAAAAACTGTGTAAACCATTCATTTTATAATATCTCCATGAATAAATACATAAAATAATAAAATACATGGAACTACTAGTTCCAAATTCCAAGTTCTAGTACAAAATTTATATTTGATAAGACTTAAGTATAAAACATTTTAACAATGTGAACAATATCATAACTGATAATAACAGGGAGTGGAGGTAAGTGGTATGTGGGAGATATTAATAAATAATAATATAGTCATATAGTCATCAATCTAAATTATACAAAAACAAAGAATGAATGCAAAGCCTTGGTCATTTCTTCAAGTCTCCTGGGGCACCCTTATGATCATAAAAACATAAATACCCAATATAGTATCACTAACAGGAATTCTGAACTACTTTAAATTTTACCCTAAGAACTGACCTGCCTACTTTCTTTCCTTCTTTCTTCTTTCTTTCATCAATTAACAACCTCCTATGTGCCAAGGGATTGGGATACAACAATCCACAATTGTACCCAAGAGAGACAAAGTCTCTGGCCTCATAAAGATTATGGTAAACACGTATGCATATAAACATATAGTATAATATTTATACTATAATAAGCACCGTGAATAGAAGTGAGGCTAAGGAGCTACATGGTGATGACAGGTCTCAGCTATTTTGAATAAGGTGGTCAAAAAAGGCTTCTTTAAGGAAATGACATTTTAGAAGGAATTTAAAGTGAAGATATAATTTTGCTCTATCTATATTATATAAATTCTTTTTAATCCAATTTATATCTTAAGCCTTTCTATCAATACACTGTTCACAAAGAAGTAGAATTTCCTTTGATTCATGTTAAAACTTTCTTTCAAATTAACTAACACTCTTGTATTCTGAGATTAATAAACTGGTTTATTTCCTTTCTCTCTGTGATACTGATATTTTAAAATTAACATAGCATGAGAACAGCAGAGATTAGAATTTGAATTTTTTTTGAGACAGGGTCTTGCTCTGTCACCCAGGCAAGTGCAGTGGTGTCATCATAGCTCAACCTCAAATTCCTGGGCTGAAGCGATCCTTCTGCCTCAGCCTCCCAAGTAGCTGGGACTACAGGCATGTGCCACCATGCCCGGCTGATTTTTCCATTTTGTAGAGATGGGGTCTCACTCTTGCTTAGGATGGTCTTGAACTCCTGGCCTCAAGTGATCCTCCTGCCTTGGCCTACCAAAAGTGCTAGGATTACAGGCATAAGCCACCTCACCTGGCCTAAGAATTTTTTAAAAATATAATTTCAAAGCTTATTTCAAATCTTATTTTAAAAGAAAACATTTCCAAAGTTATCTCAAATTTTATTTCAAACTACTTACTGATTAGCCTTAAGGAAAATTATTCACTGTCTTTCATCATCTTAAAATTGGGATAATAATACTAATGTTATATCAAAGAAATAATAAATATAAATAGTTAAATATAAATACTAATATAAATAATAAGGTATAAGGTTTAATATATACTCAATGTCTGAGAACTAGTTTTGATATGAACTAATTTATTATAGCTTCCAGCTAACTATGGTTTGAGGAAATACGCAATCATGCTGGCTAGTCTCACTTTAATTCGAATCAACTAGTAAAGACTGGGCATTAAATGCTACCAAATAATCACATTATCTAGCACAAATCAATTTTCTTTTCCATGTCCTCAGAGGACTACATCACATCTTTCTCCTTCAACTCCCACGCTTGTTGTCCCATCCCCGCTTTCAGCTAACGACCTTGCTTTCACTGGGAAAACTGAGCATTCGGAGCATGTCACCATAACATATTCCCAACCACTACCATTTGCATCCATATACTCTGATTCTTATCTGTTACCAGAGGCAAACTTGACACTACCGAACACAAGTCCCTTTGATTGTGTATTAGATCCTAAACTTTCTATGCAATAACAGTACTCCAGAGATTTTGCACTTTCTCCTATGTCATCAATTATTTTGCTCTCCACTGTATCATTTCCATCCTAAATAATATGCTGTTATTTCTCCCATTAAAAAATAAAACTAAAAACCTTTTCTTAACCCACTTCCCCTGACAGTTATCACCCCATTTCCTTCCTTTCCTTTGTAACACAATTCTCCAAAAGAGCTGTCTTATATTTGCTATCTCCAATTCCTCTCTTCCCATTCTTTAATTTTTTTATTTATATAACTCTTGATTTTAGCACAGTTTTATATTTATATTTATAAAAAGTTGCTAAGAATTCCCATATACTCATCCAGCTTCTCCTACTGTTAACATCTCATGTTACTATGGTATACAGTATGTACATATGGTACATGGTACCATAACTTGGCACAACTAAGGAACCAACATTGGCACATTACTACACACTTTATTTACACTTCACTAGTTTTCCCCTAATGTTCCTTATCTACTTCAGGATCCCATACAAGATACCATATTACATTTACTCATCATATCTCCTTAGCCTCCTCTGGTCTGTGATAGTTTCTCAGACTTTCCTTCTTTTTGATGATGCTAAGTTTTAAGAAGTACTAGTCAGGTATATTATAGAATGTCTTTCAATTTGTTTTTGTTTAACGTTTTTCTCATGGTTAGACTGAACTTGTGGGTTTTGGGAGGGAGACCACAGAGGCAAATTTCCCTCTCATCAAATCACGTCACAGGTACATGCTATCAACATAATTTGTCACTGATAATGTTGACCTTGATCACTTGACCAAACTAGCATTTGCCAGGTTTCTTCACTGCAAAGTTACTTTTTCCCTCCTTCCACACTCTACTTTTTGGAACCAAGTCACGAAGCTTACACTCACCTCCTTGAGGAGGTAGTATCTATATAAATTATTTGAAATTCTTCTTTACAGGACCCATTCTCTTTCAAACCTACTCCATCAAGAGTTTCCCACCACCATTTTATTAAGGTTATTAAGTATCAAATGTCCGATTTCCTTAAGTACTAAGTTTGACAATTAGTATCTCTGACATTTCACTTTGACATTTCTTGTTTTATTTTTATCGTGAAGATACATCCTCACTCTTTCAAATGCACTTTTTGGCTTATGATTATCTTTCATTTTTTTTTAAGAACAATTTTTGTGAAAGCATGGAAAAGTCAAAAATTCATGTTATTTTCGAGTATGAGTTCTGCCATGGAACCAATGCAGCACAGACAGCTCAAAATATCAACAAAGTGTTAGGGAAGGATGTGGTTAATGAATGCACAGTATGTTGATGGCTTGAGAAGTTCCATTCTGGTGACTTTAATCTTGAAAATGAGCCACGTGGCCGAACTGAGACTAAGGTGGATAATGATGAGCCAAAAGCTGTAGTGGAAGCGAATCCATCTCGACCCATGCATGAATTAGCAGCAAGGTTTGACGTTACTATTCCAACAATATTGGACCATTTAAAACAAATTGGCAAGGTAAATAAGCTGGATAGATGGGTTCCACAAGCGTCAATGGAAAAATCGTCTCAAAGCTTGCCTTTCTTTGCTGTCACGACATAAAGGCAAACCATTTCTATACTGTATTGTTACATATGACACAAAATAGATTCTTTTCGACAATTTCAAGTGTTCAGCACGATGGCTGGATAAATATGAAGTGCCGAAACACAGTCCAAAACCGAATATTCATCAAAAAAAGCTAATGGTGTCTGTTTGGTGGTCCAGCACTGGTATTATCCACTACAGCTACATGAAACCTGATCAATTGATTACAGCAGATGTCTACTGCAACCACTTGGATGAAATGATGTGGATGCTTATGATTAAACAGCTGAGACTGGTCAATAGAGACAGGCCAATCCTCTTGCAAGACAACACTGGACTGACAGCATGTTGCACAAACAACACTGTTCAAACTACAGAAGCCAGACTTGGAAACTCTCTGTCATCCACCATGTTCATCAGCTACTCTTACGATGGCAAAACTATGTCAATAGTTTAGGCACATACTTTGATTAATTATACTGGTTCTTGTTTGACATATAATAAATTACACTTTTGATTTGAAATCAGACATTTCATATTTAAATTACCTAAATATTAAAAGTGCTCTCATCAAGGTCACAACTTACTCCAAGTTGCTAACTCCAATGGTAATTCTTAATCTTCAGCTTATCTACCAGCAGTATTCTTCATAGTTGATCACTCCCTCCTTCTTCATATACTTTCTCTATTTGGCTTCCAAGACACTATCCTCTCCTGCTTTTGTTTTTTCCCAACTTCCCTGGTGGCTCTTTCCCTATCTCTTTTGCTAGTTCCTCTTCTCTCCTGACTTCTTAATATTACAGTGCCAAAGAGTTTAGTCCTTCATCCCCTTCTCTTCTCTTTTCTTATAAATAAATGAATCTTTATTCATTCCCTTAGTAATATTACCCAGTTCTGTGGTTATAAATATTATTTATATGCTTCCATATTTTTATCTCCATACCAAACCTCTCTCCCAAACTCTAAATTCCTATGTACAACTACTTATTCAATATCTCAGCCTGTATACCTAATAAACACTAAAAATTGAATATGTCCAAAATTGAATTCCCAATCATCCCCTACCCCAAATTTAGCTCTGAAGTTTTTTCCATCATAGTTCATGGTATATACAGCCTTTTAGTTGCTCAAGTCAAAAAATTCTTGGAATTATCTTCAACTTCTCACTTTCTTCTTTTACAATCAATCATCAGAAAAACATGGTGGCTCTACACTTAAAATCTTATCATTGTCCATGGCTGCCACCCAGGCTTCTATCAAATCTCCTGGATTATTGTTATAACCCCCTAACTGGTCTCCCTGTTTCCACCCTGCAGTTTATTCTCAATACCATGGTCAATGTGATCCTTTCAAAATATAAGTCACCATACTCTTTGGCAGTGTATATTTGAAAATGTTAATTTTTCCTAGAGCAACTGACTTTCAAACTATGCCACCTCTGTAAGTAAAACAAATGGCCAACAGCCTTTCCCTTTCCCAGTGAAAAAAATTCTTCTAAGTTCTCTCTTTTGGCACTATAACTTCCAGTGAATGACAGGTTGACTGCTACTATGCAATTCTGGATTTCCAAGACAAAAACAACTTTACATCTTTCTAAATTTTAGGAATACACACCAATGGGTCAAATCTTCAGTTTGCTAAGATATTATTCTCAACATATGTACAATGTCCTTCCTCTCTTTATGAGATTGCATAAACTTCCTCAGAAATGTGAAGATTGCCTTTCTCACATGTTTCCTGAATCTCAAATCCCTAGTCCTTTTGTCAAACTGATTAGATGCTGATAAAGAGTAATTTACCATTCGTATACATGAGATACCTCAAAAACAAAAGCTGAGTCTGACACCAATCAAGAACTATGAGTGCCAGTATTCTTGGCATCAATAATTGATGCAGGCAAAATGTGATTTCACATTCTATGTTGTATATATCCATTTATTTGGATAGGAACCTGATTTGACTATATTCTCCAACCAAATTTTTTTTTATACAATCAATGGTAAATAATACAAATTCCAACAACATCAGAAAGGAAAATCAGTTAAGATGGTGAAAACAATGAAAGAAGGGTGGGGGGAAGTGACTTTTTAGAAAAAATAATAGATTTTTCAAAGGTGACCAAAAAAAGAACAGAGATTTCATTTTGTACTTTTACCATTAGGAGTCTATCAAGAAAAGCATGATAGACCATGTAGAAAGTTATAATTAATTCACACATAAGGCCTACAACTTAGGATATCTGTTCACATATTAGCTTGGCTGCCTTCATTACGAGGAGCTTTACCTCAGTAAGCCCAATATTCTTCCTTTTAATGACATTCTGCAGAGAGTTGCTCAGAGTCCTGGTTAACAATAGGTTTGTTGACTTACGAATCATGTCATCAACTTCAGTCGAGCTGAAAAAGAAGTGTTAAGAATCAGTCATCATAGGTAGCAGAATTATTTTGGTAAACCATCAGAGTGTCAATGGTACTTGTAGTAATAATAACAAAATAATAATAATAGCAGCAGCAGCAGGAAATAATATTTATTGTATGCCATAAAAAGTACTTTAACAAACTCTCTCAGCTTTTGTTTGCTGGAAAAAAATTATGTTGCCTTCATTTTTGAAAATTATTTTGCTGTCTATAAAATTCTGGCTTGATTTCTTTTTTCTTTGAGTACTTCAAGGATGTTACTCCATTATCTCCGGCTTGTATAGTTTCAGACGAGAAGTCTACTGTAAATCTTACCATTATGCCTGCATGTAATGTTTGTTTTTATGAATGCCTTCTAAACATTCTCTGTCTTTCATTTTCACCAGTTTGAATATGATGTCTTTAAGTATTTTTGTTTGTGTAATTCACCGTGATACTTGAGAAAAGAAAAAAATTTTTTTTTTAATTTTTTCATTGGTTTGTTGTTGCTACTATTGTTTATCTGAATTGGGTTCTAAAAATCTTGAATTTCTTATTTGACATCTTTCATTATTTTGAGAATACTCTCAGACATTATCTCTTCAAATATTCCTTCTTCCCTGTTTTTTCAGTCTTTTCCTTCTTGAATCTACTGTTCACAACTGCAGCCACAGATCTTGGGCACTTGGTTCTATTTCTTTCAACTTTTTTTCTCTTTGTGTGTCAGTTTGGGTAACGTCTATTGACCTATGTTTAAGTTCACTGATTCTTTCCCTCAGCTACGTCAATTCTACTGGTGAGCCCCTCAAAGGAACTGTTCATTTCTAAAATTGTTTCTTATTTCAAGCATTTCCATTTGACACTTTCCCATAATTTCCATCTGTCTGCTAAAACTTCCTATATTTTCAAGCACGTGGTATTTTAAAGTCCCTAAGTGACAGTTCTAACCATCTGGTCATCTCTGAGTCTGGTTCTGTTAATATCATTGTTGCTTGACAATTAGTTATTTTTAATTGCTTTTTTGCATGTCTCATATTTTTGACTGAAGGTTGGACATCTTGTATAAAACAATAGAGGCTGAGGTAGACAATATTTGTGCTTGTAAATCACCATATCTTTCCTTGTATTGGGCCATTAGTGTGGGAGATGAATCAATATAAGTAGGAGTTGAGCGGGGTTTGGGTTTTGTTTTTGCTATGGTTACCCTCAGTGCCTCACAGTTTTCAAATTCGTCTAATGATAGAATGAGCCTAATATGGTACTAGCATCCCTGAGGGTTTTTCAGAATGTTTCTGTACCATCCACAGCTCTCAGTTATACCTGTATGCCTCCAACACAGAAGAGATCTCTCTTTTTACATTCTTGGTCATCATCCAGTGGTAGAATGCTGCCACTTGTCACTCAGTTTTTGCTAAGCTGTTAGTGGGAATCAAGGTATTTTCTCTTTTGTCCCGGCCATCCTCAGTCTTCGGTATCTCTGTGTGCCTGGTGCTTAGGGCTGGAGCTTGATCAACATCCCTGCTCCTCCTTCCAGTGATGGCCAAACTCTGCTTTGTATCTATAGTGGATCTAGTATAGGAGTTTTCTGTCCCTCTCCCAATGGTGGAAGACCTCTAATGGTATTGGTATAAGATCTCAGAGACAAGACTATTTCCTACCCTTCTTCTCCCAGGGTAGAAAGTTTCTTTTTCTTCAATCCTTCCTGCAGTAAAATGGGTCTTTTCCTGTGCTCTGCATAGAGGCAGGGTTTTCTGCCATTTCCCCAGTGCCGCAAAGTTTTCATTCTGTATGAGTGAAGGGTTCACACAGGGGGGAAGTAGAACTTCATGTCTTTCCCATGGCAGTGGCTGATCCCTTTCTCCAATGCCTGTGACATCATCAGTGGATCTCTCTGATCTCCCATGTAGCATCCAAACTTTCTCTTGCACACCCAGCGAAGATCAATGGAAAAGCTCATATGAGTGAGTGTAATTTCCCCCTGGGTCTGGGACTCCCAACCAAGGATTCTATATAGTCATGCTAGTTCACACAAAGCTCTTAGCAATCCATTAAGACTTTAGTTGATTCTCCCTTTCTCGCTTCTATGGTGTTTCTCCCTTGTTCTGCCACAAGTCGGGGAGTCTGTGCGTCCTGCCTCTCCTTAGAGGAACCAGTCCCATCTTGGGTTTCAGCCTACATAGTTGCCTAGTAACTTCAGCTGTCTAATGGGTTCCAGAAAAGTTTTAATTTTGTAGCTTATCTGTTTTTTTCTCATTGTTAGAGAGGAAGTAACACTCTATACTATAGACAGAAACAGAAGTATCTCACAATAATTTGTTAAAAAAAAAAAAGTGCCGTGTGTATGCATGTATTCACATGGAAGAAAGATTAAAAGAAAAAAAATCCCCATATATAAAGTGTTATTACTATGTGGTAGAGTTTTGGGTCTTTTAAATTTTTCCTCTTTGTGCTATTCTATATACTCTAAATTCTTTACAAAGACCTAATTTTATAATGTAAAAAAGATCTCTCTCTCTGTGTATATACATATGTGTATGCGTGTGTGTATATATATATATTCTGGTTTTTTAAGGTCAAGTGCAAATGACAGACCATTATTTTACCATATAAATGCCATTTATTTGCTATTTTAAAAAATATTTGTTTCAAAGAGAATTTCGTGTCTTCGGAATTCATGCCATTACATATTTTTTCAATATTTATAAAGAGAAAATTCTTGTAGGAAAAAAATGAAAGTTTGATTTAAGAACATAATTATCCTTAAAGCTACATAAAAATCTCAGTCCAGTAATTTCTCTTAGTTTGAGAACCTTGTACTTAAGAGAACCAATTGTTTTTATACATATTTTCATATTCCATATTAACCCCTACTGTAAGATAGCTGTGATTGACAAAGTGATCTCTGTCACTCCAGGTTATAATGTAAACGTATTCCAGGGTATAAGATAAATGGCAACCAAAGAGTAAAATGCAGCTGTAAAATCCCCTTGAGTTGAATATTTAATTTGTTAACATGAAACATGTCAAAGGGAGTTTTCAGGCAAAAACTTAATATATTCAGGCAAGAAAAGGGCATCTGACATTATCCCTTTTCTATGTTACCTTTCCTCCAAAAGAAGACAGAAAAAGTCATTTTGCAATGAACTTGCAATAATTTAACTACGGTAACATACCTAAGAATATTATAGAGACCATTCTCTGATATGTGCTCAGTTGATCAATGGGATGGGGACAAAAAGGGAGGGAGATGGAAACCCTGCATAGGGGTAGTTTTGGTTTGTAACTTCCAAAGACAATCTCATTTTCAAGAGAATATTTCTATGAAACCAATCTCATTTTTAGAGAAAAGAAAAGACTAATCATAAAAACTCTATGTTTCATTTTTTTTTCCTTAGTAATAACAGCTATCAAAGAAGTGACTCAAACTATTTTCTAATTATGTTTACTTTCAAGGTAGCCTGGCATACCACATTTTCCATTCATTCATACATTCACTCATTTTTCCAAAAAAAATTTACTGAGCTGGATGCAGGGGATATTGTGTTGAACAAAAGATAAAATGTCCTATCCTACTGAAGCCTTTTCTAACATCCTCAGTTTGTGTTTGGCTTGGCTCCTATGTTTCTGCTGTATACACCAGTACTTATCACTAATTGTTTAGTTCCTCAATTAGACTAGGTACTCCTAGAAGACAGGGATCGTATTTTCAGCATGTTAATGTCTCAATGTCTTCAGTACCAAGCAGCATCTGACAAATAATAGGTTAGCTATAGTATATGATGAATAAACCAATAAATGAATAAAGAGGCAAAGGGGCCTATACTCTAGCCATACAGAAGCAAACACACACATGTAGAGCAATAATGTTTCCAAACAATTGTATCTGCTATTTCTCTTCTGGCCTTAAAATTTCATCAAGTAGAATATTAAAATTAGTATGTCATACTATAATTTTCTAGTGAATTCTCCTTAATAGAAAGGATTAAAGTGCAAATCTTACTGTAAAGAAAATAGTAGAGAATAGAATGAATAATATGAATTTTTAAAATTATTCAAAAGTTACCAACTTTCCCTTTTATCATGACTATATAAATATAGCAGTGCCATGCACTGAAGAGCTAATATTAAGACTTTCAAAATCAAAGCTGAAGGGAATATCAAAAGTTTTTCAGAATATTTATGTATATAGAGTCACAATCTTAGCATTGGTTGTATTTCCACTGTTTCATATTATACCTTAGATGAAGATCTTCTGAAAACTTCAGACAGGCGTAGATAAATTCTTTAATTTGGTTGTAAACTTTTGGCACAAATTCAGAGAAAGGGAACTTTTTGGGAAATGGTTGCTGTAAATGCAAGAATTAATGAAATCAAGTCACAAAACAACAAATATTGAAAATATTTATAAATTATTTAAATTTCAAAAAGAACATTCTCGACACTGTGAACTATCTGCTTAACAACCTCAAATTTAAGAAAATGTCCCTAAAAGTTTTCGGATACTAAAAAGAGTAAGACATAAATTTAAACAAACCATAATCCAAATGTCCTTCATCATGTAAAGGGATAAACAAATTGTAATATACATTCAGAAATAAAAAGGAATGAACTATCGACACATGCACCAACTTAGATGAATCTCAAAAGCATTTTGCTGAGTCAAAGAAGTCAGTCTCAAGGTTACATACTGTATGGTTCCATTTATATGTCATTCTGAAAAAGGTAAAAGTAGAGAGATAGAGAATAGATTGGTGGTCTCCAGGGGCTGGGGTTAGGTGAGGGGTTGATTAAAATGGGGCAGCATGAGGGTATGACAGAACTGTTCTGTATCATTACTGTGGTAGGAGATGCATGACTCAATACATTGTCAAAACCAGCAGAATTATATACCACAAAGAGTAAATTTTACTGTATGTTTTTGGGAGAAAATGTCTTAAGAGTATAATAAAAGCAAGTATTTCAAAGTGTAAACCAAATTAGAATATCGCCAGTAATCCTCTAAACATTTCAGAGATAATGTGGACTTAAAGCCATCTACTGATTTCCTAATCAGGAAATTCTGTTCCTCTAAACCCCAGAAAGAGTCCTCTGAAGGTGTTTTAGAGTGCTAAGCCACTGAGTTGAAGGTAATGCTTTCAATGAAATTGATCCAATGAAAGCTTTCAGAGGATGCCAAAACCAAAGAAGTTTAGTTTAAAGCATTCCTTACCTTTTCCAGCTCTGTATCTTGGAATGGGAATTGTCCTACAACCTTTTTATACATCTCTTCACTTGTTACTGGTATGGGACTGTAGTTGTCTGAATCAAGTATGTTTCTATAAATAAAATGGAAGAAAGGAAGGAAGGGAGAGTGGTGGTTAATTAAAATAATTTTCTGATGAACTCCAATAATCGTATACATACCCCAACCCAAAATGACTGTTTCCCAGATCTTAAATCCACAACACAGCTATTTGGTTTTGGGTAAGGCTGTCTTTTTAAAAAGACACAAAGAAACCTACACTCTGAAACAAATGGAACATAATTATAAATATGAACTTCTAGTATTTGAAATTTACAAATGAGACAAAAAAAGTTTAAGGCAAGTGAGAAATAAACAACAGTAACCCTGTACTAGATCTTCCATTCTAACTTTCAAAATTGGCAAATGGTGGGGAGGGGGAGGAGGGATGAAGGGGGAAAAAAAAAGAATATAAATTGTATTTATTACCATGGAACTATACACTTAAAAATGATAAAGATGGTAAATTATTTATTTTATCTCAGTAAAAATAAATTTTTAAAAAATTGGCAAATAGGAAAAATAACAATAATAAATCCAAACTATATTCATTTACTTCATCTACTGCTCTATATTAATCATGATTTTTTTCATCTGTAGTTCTCCCTCCTTAACTAGATTGGGTGTTCTCTAAAAGCAGGGACTATATAACCAAAATTAAAATAGAGATTCACTGAAGACATCAGATCCAAAGCATCTACGTCTATGGATATACCATGTTATTAGTTTTCAAACTTCCTATAGAGATAACCCTCTCCTAAATATCATCATAACATTAGATAAATCTGGGTTTTAGAAACATTAGTATCTATATTAATACACAGATGAATTGATAGTGGAGGATATGTTCATAAACTTTGAAGAGTAAGGTTAAAAGAACAACATAAGATCTTAAATCTACAAGAACTTGAAAACAAGATAAGCTAATGGGGGAATGGGTCTTGCAATAGGCAGGAAAATCACTTAAAGTGAAAGAGTAAAGGTTTAAAAAGAGAAGAAATTAAAATGAGTTGACACAGAGTATGTGCCAAGAAAACAGTCCAAGGAGACATTTTTGAATGGGAGATGTAACAAAATAACTTTCTTATTATTGCATGTATATTGCAAGAACTACTTAAATAATGGGCTTCAAACACTGGACTGTAACAGGCCCCTACTCTGTGTGTAGAGAAGATAATGAGGAATAACATGAGTGAGTCCTTAAAAAAGGCTTCCCCAAAGCCCGAATTATTCATAAGGCTCAAATGCCACTTACCATAAGTGAGTTGTAAACTAGGCATGAACTTCCAAGAGAAAACCAAAAAAGCAATTAAGAAGATGCAAGATGCACAATTCACTATTGCAAGGATGTGGAAACAACTCAAGTGTCCGTCAATCCATGACTGGGTTATTAAAATTTGGTATATGTATACAATGGAATATTACTCAATCATAAGAAACGACAGTGATCTAGAACCTCTTATACTTTCCCGGATTAAACTTAAGCCCATTATCCAAAGTGAGGCACCACAAGATCGGAAGAATGGGCTCCACTTGTACTCGCCATCAAATTGGTACTAACTGATGAACACTAGGGGGCTCACATGGCAGTAATATTTTCCAGGGATTAGGGGGATGGGGGGGTAAACCCGCAACTAAAGGACATGGGGAGCATTGTAGGGGGGAAGGGCATGTCTCTAACCCTTGCTTGGGTGAGGCAAAGATATAAAGTGTAACCTTAATGTTTATACCTTCATAATACCCTGA